TTCCTATTGGTTTAGAAGGAAATTTTAAAGGAATAATAGATCTTATTGAACGAAAAGCTTTTTATTTTAATGGTCCAAATGGGTAAAATTTTATCTCTAATAAAATTAATAATAATATATAAATATATATATTTTAGAGAAGAAGTCTCTGTAGAAGAAATCCCTGAACAGTATAAACAAGAAACTGAAAATAAACGACGAGATTTAATTGGTATATTTTTCATTAAAAGAAAAAAAAAGCCAAAACAGATATTTTAAAAAAATAAAACTATTTTTTTGTTTTATTCTAGAAACTCTGTCAGGCGTCGATGATGAACTTGGTGAAATGTTTGTTAATGAAGAAATACCTAATGAACAGCAAATTCATGTGTGTAAGAATTACTTTACAAGATATTTATTATTTGATATTTTCTTCTAAAAAGGATGCTATTCGTCGTTGTGTACTAAAACGTAAATTTAATCCAATATTTGTTGGATCAGCTTTAAAAAATAAAGGTGTACAACCATTACTCGATTCTGTTAATCGTTATTTACCAAATCCAGCTGAAGTTGAAAATATTGCACTTGATGAATTAGGGTAAAGAAAAAAAACAATAACAATGTTTTCAAAATATGAATTTCTGTTTTTTTTTTTTTTGTACAAATTATTTATTAGAAAAGAAAAAAAGACAATTAAACTTGATCCAACACGTTCATTTGCTGCACCATTTGTTGGTTTTGCATTTAAAATTGAAGTAATTATATATTTTAGAAGATATTCTTTTTATTTCATAATAATAGAACAATTTCAATAGAAAATATTTGTTTTTAATTATATATATATATGGATTTTAGGCTGGTGGTCGAAATACAAGTACAACTCAATTAACATATATACGTGTTTATCAGGGTGGTGTTAAACGTGGTGATACACTTTATAATATGCGTACATTAAAAAGAACACGAGTATCAAAACTTGTTCGTATGCATTCGAATAAAGCTGAAGTAAAATCAGACATTAACTTTTTGTTTTGTATAAAAAAACTTAGCTTTTTTTTATTCATCTAGGAAGTTGATGAAGCATATGCAGGAGATATTTGCGCCTTTTATGGTCTCGATTGTGCTACTGGTGATACTTTTGTTAATGATAAAGCATATCAAATTAGTATGGTAAATATTTTCAATCATAAATATAGGAATGCACAGTTTTAGTTTACTAACCATCGGCTCACGAGGAAACATTTTCCAGTAACCAATCGTCTTTGAATTTGAACTTTACATAAGATAGAGTTCAATAAGATATGAAAAATCTCAAAGGAATAAGTCCTCTGAAACTTTCTATTCAGAGTTCTAGACATTTTACTAGAATTTTAGCTTCTGGCTTGGTATATATATATATATAAACAAATCCAATGACGATATTTCGACCAGAGATTTTTCCCACAGAGATGTCTATTTGACAGTAGAATGTTCTGAAAAGTTTAGCTCAAAAGGATGTTTTCTTCCCGAGTTAATGAAGTCCCAAAAATCACTCATATTCCGCGATAGATGCTAAAATTTTCTGTTTATTTGACATTTTAATATCTCGGAAAGGAAACATCCTTTTAAACTGAAATTTTCAGGATATTCTACTGACAAAGACGCCTCTTCACAAGAAGGGCATATTTTGATAGAATTGACGTCTCAATGTTGCAACGAACGCGGATATCAGCGTACTCAGTGCCCTCAATCAGAACTCATCAGGTCTGAAATTTTCAAGCCTGGTTTATTAAACGTTTTTGGAAATCAGATTTTGACCGTACTTTGATACTCTCAATGGAATTTTCTAATCAGAATTAGATAGTCGCTCCGAAAATACGTGATACTTTTTTCCAATTTTTTTTGTATTTGATGACTAGCGCATCGTACATATTTCTTAGACGACTAGACTTCATTCGATCCTATGTCGGTGACTCACTGCCGGTAATTACATCAATACTGTACATCCCTACATAAATAGAGTTTATAATAGATTAACTTTTTTGTTATATTTAGGAATCGATCTTTGTTCCTGATCCGGTTATTTCAATGTCAATAAAGTGTTCATCAACGACAGATGTAGAAAAATTTGCTGCAGCTCTTTCTAGGTGAGTTGCATTAAATAGAAACAAGAAAAAATTCTAAGAATTTATTTTTTTTAAAGATTTACTCGTGAAGATCCAACATTTCGTATTGTTTATGATGAAGATAATAAAGAATCAATAGCAATGGGTATGGGAGAATTACAACTTGATATATATGCACAAGTATAAGATTTATATTTTAATAATAATAGTAAAAAAAGCGAATGAAGATTTTTGTTGTTGTTGTTGTTTTTAGCGTATTCAACGAGAATATGGTGTCAAAATTGAAATGGGTAAACCTAAAGTTTCATTTCGAGAATCACTTGTCAATCCTATTAAGTAAGAAGAGTGAAAATAATTTATCTATTGATTAATTTTCATTTCTTCTCGAAAGATTCGATTATCTTCATAAGAAACAATCCGGTGGTGCTGGTCAATATGGTCGAGTAATTGGAATTCTAGAAGTAAATTTAACGAATATTATTTCTGAATTGATTATAAAATTTTCTTTTAGCCTTTATCACCAGATAAATTTGCTACTGTTGGTATGTATTTAAATATATATATAACTTGTAATAAAAAACAAAATATTTTTTTTCCTTTTATAGAATTTTCCGATGAAACATCTGGAACAAATGTACCATCACAATTTATACCAGCAATTAAAAAAGTTAATCTTTTGTTAATCAATATACAAAAATTTCTATTATCGTCTTTTTTTTTGTGTTTTTGGATAGGGTTTAATTCGAGCTTATGAAAAAGGTTCTCTGAGTGGAAATAAAATAAGTGGTGTTAAATTTCGTTTACAAGATGGTATTATAGATGAATTTATTTTAAAATAATATTCAATTATTTTGTATTTAGGTGACAATCATATTGTTGATTCAAATGAACTTGCTTTTATGTTAGCTGCTGAAGGAGCTATACGACAAAGTAAACATTCATAAGTAGTTCATTTCAAATATTATTACGTTTTTTTTTTCTTTTCGTTTAGCACAAGAATATGGTCAATGGCAAATAATTGAACCTGTTATGTTAGTTGAAATAAATGCACCAACTGAATTTCAAAGTGCTGTACATTCATTAGTTATTAAACGTTTTGGTATTGTATCAGGTATTGAACCACGTGAAGATTGGTTTACTATGTTGGCTGAAGTAAATTTTATTTAATAGAAAAGAAGAAAAAAAAGAAATAATTTTTTTATTTTATCTTTTTTTTTCCTTTTAAAGATTCCACTTAATGATATGTTTGGTTTTTCTACTGATATTCGTTCTCATACACAAGGCAAAGGTGAATTTTCTATGGAATATGTTCGCTATTGTCCAATACGATCAGATGTATCAAATAAAATAATTCAACAATATCAAGAAAGTCTGGAACAACCACAACAACAACGACGAAAAAATTAATTATAATTTAATCTATAGAACAAAAAATAAAAAAATTTCTATAAATTTAAATCATTTACTTTATTTTTTTGTTTGTGTTATGTTTTCTAATCTCGTTTATAGAAACGAAAACAAAGAACGGCGAGAGGAAAAAAAAAGAAATTTATTTTTTATGATCTTTTTTTTTCCCGAATGTTTTTCATTTTTAAATCGACAAAAATTTGTCTGAAAAAAAAGTAACGAGAAATATATATATATATATACATATTGACGTATGTGATTCTATCACGGTGTACACGCCTCCAAAATCTTCATTGCGCGTCTTTTGCTCTCATTTTTTTCTCTTCTTCTCTCCTTGTCACAAACACACACACACATACATACATCTTCGTTCCCTTCATCATTCATGAATATACTCGACGCGGTCGTCGTCTCTGCTTGCGGCGCATTCGACATTCATGGCTGTGCGTGCTCGAGCCGAATGTGTGTATGTGTGTTGAAAAAAGGTTGTTCTCCTCGACCGTCGTTTATCCCCCCTCGCTTTTCTTGCCATGTCTCTTCTTTACATTCTTTGTACTATATATGCATATATATATATATTTATATATTGGTACATTGATCGTTTTCCTACACTTGCATTGTCGTCATTATTGCGTTTGTTGATCAACATAGGCTTCATCTATATAGAACTTGACGTTTTTTCTTTCTTTCTTTCTTTCTTTTTTTACTGTTCCACATTTGAACAAATATATTCTTCATATAGATCAAACAAAATAGTCAAATAAAGATAGTTTGTTCATCTTTTCTAACTATCGTCTTGTCTCTTTCTCTCTCGCGAGGTGAATGAAGCATTCTCGTACCTATTCAGTAGAAAAAAAAATTGGGTCTCGGCACCATATGGCTTCCTTTTTTTCTTTCTTACTCTCGTTCTTTCTCTACGTTTTTTGTCAAAATTGTTCTCGAGCGTATGTGCATACGAGAAAGACATGGAGATGGAAAGAAAGAACGCGGATACACAACGACGGGCGAGAAATAGATTTTAGAGATGAACAACATACACATGCAGACGCATAGAACATCGAAGAAAAACATTTGTTATCGCAAGCGCGAGGGCGAGCATGCACGCGCTCGCGCGCGCTTGTGCTCTCTACATTCTGTCTTTCTCTCTCTCTCCGAGCAGTAGACGTCGAGTGAAAGAACATAAGAGAAAAAAAAGGAAAAAAAAGAAAGGAGAAACAGTAATAGTAACGGGGGCAAGCAACCAAGCCAGCGAACGTTGTCGTTTTATTTTGTACTGGACGAGAAAATCGAGCAACAAGGCTAAGGATTGAGTGAATCGTTCGTCATCTATTTCTATATGTAGTAAACAAGACAAGAAACAAAATTCTGTAAAGAATAAAATATTATTTTATTACTAATTTAAACGATTTAAGATTAGTTTTTTTTTCTTGTTTTTTTTTCAAAAAAAAAAATAAAACAAACAAGCAAAAGGCAATACGTGCACATACATATATACATTTATATCGACGTATGAGTGCCGTACAACAACATCAATCGCCGATTGTTAGTCCTGAAGTAGCATCAGCAATGAATGCTGCATTTGCTGAACTTCTTGCTGTTGAACCAGCTGCTGCAGCCGCTGCTCTTCTTATACATCATCAACAAAATGTTCATCCTACAACATTTAATGATTTTCTTACTAATGGAACTACGCATAATAATAATGATTTACCAAGAAATAGTCGACCACCAACACCCTATACGGTTACTACGCACACATACAGTGGTAAAAGTTTCTTTTCATTTTTTTTTTAAATTAAATAATTTTTTTCCTCATAGATTCACCTTCTTCGTCAACTTCATCATCATCTTCGGTAACAACAACATTACCACGTTATAAAACTCTTCTTGATAAATTTACACCAACTATACCTTCATCTTTACCTACAAATGAACAACGATCAACAACGATTACAACTGCTGCTTCTATAGTATCGAATAGCAATACTCTTATTCGTAATTATTATGAAAATTTATGTAGTAATTCATCAACAACAAATTCAATAACATCATCAACATCTACAAATAATCGAAAAAAACGTTCAATATCAAATGAATATGATTTTTCATCAGCTAATTCAACTAATCATGATAATCGTAATTTATCAAAACGTTTTCGTCCAATACAATCTTC